CCTCGGCAGAAGGACTTGTAGCCCAGCCAGCAGCAGCTGCCATTCCCACACTGGCTCCTCTTCAGCTCCTTGTGCTTCCCCTTGCAGCCCCCCAAGCAGATGGGTGCTGTGCCAGACCAGTAAGTATCCAGGTCTCCTGGTGCCGCAGGGAGACAGGCAGAGCAGGGCTGGGGCAGGGGGCTGAGGACCACCCTTTCGCCAACTCCCCAGCCCCCAGAGACTTGCATGGAGGTTGTACAAGCCCAGCGAAAGCTCGTCTCAGCCCACCCCCCAACCCCTGCTATGGTGAGGGGCGCATCCACTTGTGGCCCCCAGCTCTTCTACAAGTCAGCTCCAGCCAGGTGCCAGCAGCTCTGGGGCACCCCGTAAGCCTCTCTTCCCCCAAACACCCTGTTACCTTCCAGGTCCTCGCAGGAAACCAGCGTGGCCAGCACAGCGAGGAAGAGGAGGCCCAGTCCCATGGCGTGCACTCTGCCCTCCTCCCCTTGCCACTCAGACCAAAGGCCACCCCTCCGCTTGCCCAGGAGAAAGTGAACTTGGTTTCCATACACAAGACAGGGGATGCTGTAGGACATGGGGGAAGGGAGGAGACATTCCCTTTAATGCCAATCCTCTTCCCCACAGATAATCTCTGGCAGATTACCCAGCCTGGACCCTGTGTTTAAAGGGACACCTCCTCCCAGCCACCACAGCCTCACCTCCGCTCCCCACACCTCACACTCACGTAGTGCGGGAGTGCTGCAGTCAGGTGCAGCTGTGGCCCTGGCAGCAGAGCCCCAAGGCCAAGCTGGAAGTGCTGCGAATGCAAATCTGGCAGGATGCCCTTCTCTTGAAGGTATCCTTGGCCCAGCTCTGACAAGTACTGGGGAGCAAGGGCCAGGAAGGGGAGGGGAAGGCTGGGCAAGGCTCGACCACATTGCATGCCAGCAGCCCAGGGCTGGTCTCCCCAGAGCTAGCAGCATCCTCTGCCTCCCACCCCGCCTCACCCCGAGCACAAGGTGCCCAGCTCATGGCCCTAGCTGCGTTTCACTGCCCCACGTGAGGCACTCTGTGTGCACACCCCTGGAGAGAGCAGTACTGTGCATTGCCCCTCACACATGGATCCAGCCCGAGGAAATCTTCCCACACAGCCTGCTGCTCTCGTCACCCCAAGGGCACAGCCACAAATCACACCCAGTGTTTTTAATTAGAAAGTGAGCAGATGGCCAAGGGTTTAGTGTAAAGTGATTTCCTTCATTAACCTGGAATTCCAACAGCTTTTGCTGAACTGCTTGAGAAAGGAAGCAAGGGGAAAAAGTCAGGGTCCAGCCCAGGAGATCAGCAGGACACTCCCTGCCTCCATCTGGACACATCACCTCTACACCCTGGGCAGTGAGGGCCCAAGTGTCACTGAACAAGAGTGCCAGAGCAAAACCTGGCCTTCCAGTGCCACCTCTGGGGACGCAGAACATACTCTGTGAGGCAGTCACCAGCTGCACCAAGCAGCAGCACGTAGGACACGTCAAGAGATCCTGGCGGCTCACCAGTGCCCACCTCCCACACTGCAAGCTCCACGCAACTTGGGTCTCATCCTCTCACCACAACACGCCACAGCTAGCAGGGATGGGGTTAAAACAGACACCAGACACTGGCTGGCCTGGCACTCTGACTTTTATTTGTCTTGTCAAAGTACACTTTGCCCAACCAGGAGCCCAAACCCCAATGTGGGGAGGAAACCCAGGGAAGGACAAAAGCAGTAAGAAGCTCCCAATCCCCCAGCGCTGCAAGGCAGCAGTAGCCTGCAAGGGATAGCACCTCCAGCCCTCTCCTCCCAGAGGTCAGCGCAGTATAATGGGATCAGTGGTGCAAACACCACCAACAGCACCATCTGAACTACCTAGGAAAGATGATGTGCAGGGAAGTGCCGATGAAGGCAGAAGTAGAGCATGCCATCTCGTGGAGAACAAAGTACGGATGGGGAGAACAGGCCTGCAAAGGGCCACACATCTCCCCAGGGAAGAGGTTTCAGCTGCAGTGTCTGCTCAGCACACCATCCTGCCTGGGGAAATACTAGCTGAGGGCCAGGCTCAGCAAGGGCTGACAGCTGCACCGCAGCAGGGACCACATCACCAGTGACCAAGAGGGGAAGGCTTGTGTCTAAGGGCAAAGGCTAAGGCCAAGCCTCCTGGAAGGGTGGGAGAGGCTTGTTAGTCCCTAATCCCCAAAAGGAAGAGACAGACAGCTCTTTCCAGCTCACATCACCTGACCCACAACTGAGAGAGATCTGCCCATCCCCTCTCCCCATGCTGACCAGAACCAGCAGCCAGTGAGGCTGAGGCAGCAGAGGGGGAAGCTACACAGCTGCAGGTAGGTAAAAAGACAAGCTCAAGCCCTCTCCCCCAAGCATTTACCAACCTCCCCCAAGCATTTACCAGCCTCCCCCACTGGCACATTCCATGGAGGCCTGTTTCCACATGCAGAGAGGTAGGTGAGCACCTCACACAATCTGGATGCCCAGCTCCTCAGCTGTCTTCTGCAGACGGTCCATGACGTTCTCCTCCAGCTCCATAGCCAGCCCACCAGGTGCTGCCACCTGCTCCTCTGAGGATGTGCTGGCCATGACATAATACACAGTCTCACTCTCACCATGCTCATTGGTCCGGTTCACCACACGGATGATGGGGCTGGCTGGGGTGCTGGGTTCTTGCTCTGATGAGAGTGCTGCTCCTGGGAAGGCACTCGGCTGTGTTGGCTCAGGGTTGTCAGCAGAGCAAGCTGCCGGGCGCAGTGGGGCCACTTGCAGCTCAGCGATGCTGTTCTCCCCCAGGGCAGCCTCTGCTGGAGCCTCCAGAATGATGCCCTGCAGGTTACCCTCACCCTCAGACAGCACCACACACTCAGTTGAGCCATCCAGTGCCTCCCCTCGCTTCTCTCTGTCCTTCAGTAGCTGCTCTGTCAGCTCCACACTCTCGTAACGCACCAGCTGCAGCCTCATATAGCCATCCTCATGTTCCTTGTACCTGTGCAGAGACAGGCAGGGGTGATGGTACCAGGCACACTGCAGCCCCTTGCCAAGAGACAGGTGGCAGCCCGAGGCAGCAGCCAAAGGCCCACTCTAGGTTCCAACGCCTAAAAGGAACCTCTAGGTTCCTACCCCTAAAAGCACATCCATGTGGCAGCTTCTGTGCTCTTGCCAAGAGACAGGTGGCAGCCCGAGGCAGCAGCCAAAGGCCCACTCTAGGTTCCAACGCCCTATGTTACATAGATGATAGCGAGCAAGATGAAAACCCTTCATCCCCTACCCCTAAAAGCACATCCATGTGGCAGCTTCTGTGCTTTCTGCCAGGCCTCCATCATCACCCAAGCCCATCTCCTTCCACTGCTCTTTCATTGGGAGCATTTTAAATCCATTCCCTTCCCCTCACAGCTTTTAGGCTCTGGAAACCTGGCACTGACAGGTCTCTGCTCAAGCAAGATGCAGGATGTAGCTCCAGCTGTCTTGTGCTAGAGAGGAGGTAGTGAGGAGCTAAGGATGGGCAGTACCTGAAGCGAGGATGTCCCGAGGGCCATTTGAACTGGTGTTTCTTCCTGAGGTGGACAGTGAGGTTGTTTCCACGAGTGAAGCACTTGTCACAGACATGGCACTTGTACCGGGGCTCTGAGTCACCCTGAAGGGCAGAGAGAGGGATGTGAATACCCCATGAGCCTCATCAGAGGGTCTAGTACCCACACATGTGCATAGAAGGAGAAATCAGTTTCTGAGAAGACTGACATGATGTATCATTAAAGCACTAAGAGAGGAATGCAACCTGGCCTCACATTCCTTCAGCCCTGGTCAGCCCGGGGCATTTCACATGACTTTAGCTTTTTTCTCCTCACGCTGCTGTACAGCGTGTTGCACTTAGTGATTCTCAGCCTCCTCGTAAGAGAGTACACAGTAGAATAGCCCTCTGCTCCCTTCCCACCTCGTGGACTTTCCGGTAGTGGAGCTTGATGGAGCAGAGGGAACGTGCAGTGAAGCTGCAAGCCTCAAACTCGCAGCGATAGGCTGGCTCTTTGCTGTGCGTGTCCAAATGTTTCCTCAAGTCAATGAGATTCTTGCAGCTAAAAGGAAATTATAAGAGATCAAAGCTGAATACTGTAGTGCACACACACACACGTGCCTCTGGGTGCTTCTCCATCACCACTCTGGGAAGACAGAAAGCCCTGGTCCTCACCTGTAATCACAGTAGTCACACTTGAATGGCCGCTCCTCGCTGTGCCGAAAACGAATGTGATTGCGCAGGGAGGAGGGCAGCGGGCAGGTCATGTCACACAGAGGGCACTTATAATGGTTCACTGTGTGAAAGAATGGGTGGAAAACATGACCACAAAGCAGAAAAGTACACGTTCTTCTGAGCCTCAGTTGGGAGAAGGAGCCTTTACTCACCATGGTTCCTCATATGGTCACGGGCCAGCCTCTCTGTGGCAAATCTCTTGGAGCAGTGAGAACACTGAAACCTCTGCTCTGCAGCATCGGGGCCGGGGGAAAGGGGAGGGGGTGGTGAGAAGAGATCAAAGCAGAGAGAATAGCACAAAGAGCAGCAAGGGAGAAAAAGAGGTAGTTACAGTGGAGCTTCAGGCAGAGATACCAGACACTGACTACAAAGCCCAATCAAAAAACCACTTGCAAAGACCAATCTTCCTCCCCTTCGCACACCCTCCTTGTGCTGCCAGTGCAGGGACTGGGGAGCTACCATCACACACACATTGCCAGCACTGCACAAGGGAATGCAACAAACAAATCCCAGTGCTGCTGCCAGTGCCCAGCTGCTGCCTTTGACATCAGTCCTGGGTCCCTGCAAGAGGAACAGCTCTGGCTGCAGCAGTGGGAACCCTGTGCCGCCTTGTCAGCCTCCAACTCTCCAGCTTCTGCAAGAAGCCACTTCTCAGAGATTCATCAGTGTCCGAGTTCCCAGCCGTTAGAGAAGCCAGGCTGTTTCCAAGAACACCTGTGCACTTTGCTCTCAGAGAAGAGCTAGCTCTAGCAAATCAAATGACCCAGCCAGAGGACTGCTCACTACCCATTCCTCCCCCACCCACAGGAGCTTACGGTCCAGTGCAGTCTGACGGCGGATATGGTCAAAGAACTTGGTGTTGTTGGCAAACATCCCCCCACAGGTAGGACAGGCCACCACCTTCTCCTGTGTGTGGCTGCGCAAGTGCTCCCGCAGTTTGCAGCGTCCTTTGAAGGTGCAATCGCAGTCTAAACAGAAACAACAGAATTCCATTAAGATCCTGCACACATGGGCCACGATCCACAACTTCACTGCATGCCAGGTTTCCTGCTTCTGTTTTGACTAGCAAGGATCAGCTCCCTGCTCCAAAAAGCCACAGAGCAGGGTCACAGCAGAATGAGATCACTAGTGTTCAACTGGCAGGGGCCCTCCCCACTGCAAGCAGCTAGGGCAACTGCACAAACACAGGAGAGAGAAATTATTGAAAAAATTGAACTGGAACCTTTTCTTCTAGGTACTGATTAAATATAAATGAAAAGTTCAATATTAAGCACTCAACTTGATCCCCTGAAGGAAATTCTACAGGAACATTTCACTGTTAGGACCACGCACATATATTTTTGAAGTTTGAGAGGCTCTCTGAAAGCCTGCCAAGGAGCGCAGAGTTCTCTGGTTTGCAACCCAGCCCTGTGCAAAGCTCTCCAGAGAGGCCTTGCATACACCCACTAACCTTTCCAGCCACAGAGGACCACGTGGTTCTCCTTCCCTGCTGCCTTGTACTCCAGACAGAAGCTATGATCCTCCACATGCCGATAGAACCACTCGGGATTATCAAACGATCTCTGTTGGTGAGAACAGACATACAGAACAGGGTGAAAAAAGCAGCACGAGCTGCTCCCAGCCAGAGCACAACAGACCCTTTCACGCAGGTACGAACACAGGCATGCAGGTGAGCTGCAGGACAACAGCAGCTCTCCTTCCCTTGGTTGCCACATCACAGGAAAGCGAAACTAGGTCCCCTGTTCTCACCTCACAGTACTCCCACAGGCACAGAAAGTTCTCTTGGATCTCAGGGATGATATTGCGGCTCTGGATGTCCAGCTGGCAATGGCTCACATCCGACTGGCTCTGCAGGGCTCGCAGCCCCCACTGCTTCAGCTTGGTGTGGTAGCAGTGGAAGTAGACATGGCGAACGAGGTCATCCGAGCTCTCTGGGG